ACCTGATGAGGTAAACAGAGTCAGTGGACACTTTCTGGAAGTTCCTGAGACTGGGGGACAGGGCAGCAGGTGGGAACTCTGCCCTTGTGCTTTGATTTCCAGTTCTCTCTTTAGTAATCAGGTCACTCAACAGTCTCCAAACTTTGTAACCAAAATAGTCTTGCTGGAGATGCTCAATCTTAGGCTCAGTAATAAGACACATTGAGATATATTTATGACATACATCTGAGGTACTCATTTTGGGAAGAGGAGTGAAGGGTCATTATGACAAGACAAAACAAAAGGGACAAATGAATAGAAAACCAATCAATAAATGGATGGATATGTGGAAGGAGTCATACTTTGAGAGGGAATATTGAGGAATTCAGGGTGAGAGTAGTTGTCAGGGAATGAAGACGATGAGGACAAGAGTTCTACACACACACAGCTATGTGCTTGAAGAAAAGGAGTAGATCCATCTCCTTCATGCTTTAGTTGGTAAAAAATGTTGATGGCAGGACTGTCAAATTATTCCACAGAGATTTTGAAATCATGCAAAACGTAGTCTTTGAGGCCATCAGCAGGTAGGATGAGGACGAGAATTAACACCAGGTGAAAGGAGAAAGGTGTGGAGAAAGGAACCCTGGAGAACTTAGGAGGAAAAAGAGGCTGAAGAAGAAGGGTATCAAAAAGGAAAAGGTTAGAACCATGAGACTATTGGAGGGAATGTTGGAGGCAGCCTTAGGGAATGGGTAGGGGCAGAGAAGGCCAGAGCTAGGCTTCTTGGTGAGGAAGCTTAACCTTGTTTTTGGTAAGAGATTCCAGCAATTCTGTGCTACATCTGTCAGGCACTCATTATGTCTAACACACCAATGACTGATGGTCTTATTACATCAAACTTCAAAAAAAGATCAAGACTGTTATAAGAAGATACCTAAGAAAAAAAAAAAAAGATCAAGTTGCAATAAAAATGAACTCAGCATTGCATAGTTTTATATTTTTTTCTAACCATTACGTGCATTAATCATTACCTCAAAAAAGCAGCAAAAAGATAGAAGTGCCAAAAGTGGTAGAGAAAACGTGCCAACATTCAAAGAATAATTAACGAAAAGTGTTGCAGTTTTAACACCATAAATTAAAGTCAGTCCCAGTCTTTCCCAGTTCTTCTCAAGGGAGCCCAGGATCTCCATCCCCTGGATACGACCATGCCTGCTGCCTGTCCTGACATTGCCCCAGGCTACAAGTTTAATGAAAGCTTCATTACCATAGTTCTGAGTCTGGTGTCTGTCATATCCGAGTAAATCACCCAGCTATGAATCTCATGAACTCATTGTACTGAGTAATTTTCTTGGTAATCTTTTTTTTTTTTTTTTGAGACGGAGTCTAGTTCTATCACCCAGGCTGGAGTGCCGTGGAGCTATCTGAGCTCACTGCAACCTCCACCTCCTGGGTTCAAGCTATTCTCCTGCCTCAGCCTCCCAAGTAGCTGGGATTACAGGCATGCATCACTGTTAATTCTTTTTTTTTTTTTTTTTTTTTTGTAGATACAAGGTTTTACCATGTTGGGAAGGCTAGTCTTGAACTCCTGACCTCAAATATTCCGCCCACCTTGGCCTCCCAAAGTGCTGGAATTACAGGCATGAGTCGCCACCCCCAGCCGATCTTCTGTGATTTTCTAATTTTCACTTTATATAGAATGGGTTTTTACTTTTCAGAACTTCATTGTGGCTGGACCCCTGCATTCTGCTGAGGTCTGATGTGCTAAGTTCCTGATGCACTTCCTGCTCCTTGCCACCTTCCTCTCCTCTGGGATTAACATTCTCCCATCCATCCTCATCTTCCTACCCTCCCACACCAGGTGAGAAAGATTCAGCTCCCCAGTTGGCTGACTGGCATTCAGAGATAGGTTCCTGATTCCCTACCATGGAGAAGTTGCTTGCAAGAGAAACCCAGCATTATAAACTTGAACTTTCGAAAGGGTCAGTTAGACAAGCTGGCTGTGATATGAGGGTTAGTTTGGAAACTTGAAATGTAATATTCTTTCTGGCACAGAGGATTCAGTTGACCTCCAGGCTGTATGACTTAAGACAGCAATGGACAGTTTCCAGACCCCACTTGCAAGTGGGCAGGGTCAAAGCTTCTAATTCTGCTAGGCTGAGTCAGTTATTGGTGCCCAGATGGGTGTGGCTGAGAACACAGATGGCAGGTAATCATTAGGGGATGTTGGGATCGGCCTGGGACAGGCTGAACTTGACAGCTGTGGTTCTGATTCACACGGGCAGGCACCACTTCCCCCAAGGACTATGCAAGCCTCACCATCTTATACCATGTTGTTTTGTTGTGTGTGTTTATTTTTCTTTAGTTACCCCTTGGTTGTTAAGAAACTAGACATATAGATTATTGACCTAAAGCTTCTTTACCCTAGAACAGTTTTGGTTGCTGTGCTTCACCTTGCAAGAACCCTTAGGTGGGGCTGCCAGCCAAGTCAGCTGACTTTACCTGCTCCTCACACATTATGACTTAGGCTGTTGTCCGGCTGCAGGGCCTGCCACAGAAATGTGGTTAACTCTTGACCCCAGGCTTTGTTACAGGTATACCTCTTTCCCACTGTTCTTAGATGCAGGCTCATGTGCAGCTTTTGGCTAGGACCCAACAGTCAACATAAAAGACTGACCCTATCACTGTCACTAACTGCCTCTACAACCTTCAGCATATCACAGCACCTAGATTCCATGTTCCTTATTTGGAAGAGCAGGTGGAGAGGGGTTGGCCACTAAAGATAATGAAACGAAAGCTGCCATAATTCTAAGAGATTTAACCATTACTTTCTATAGGCATTGAACTCAGTGGCTCTAAATCAAACTATTTATTATACTTAATTATGATTATATAAGACAAATTCTTCCCTTTAAACTACCTTAATGAAATAGAAATATTTAAAGACAACTACCAACTGTTCTCTTCCTCCTTCCCATCCTCCCTTCTCTTCCCCATTCTTCCTTTTCTTCCTTCCCTTCGTCCTTTCTTTATTTCTCAGTTTGAAATAAATAAGTTAGAAGTTCGAGTCACCTCTTTGCAGGGACAAATTATTCCAGCAAAAAAAAAAAAAAAACCTAGAAATATCTGGTCTAGATTATCCCTATTTATAGCTTATGTATTTAAAACCCTTGGAATCCATCTATTATCTATCTATCTATCTATCTATCTATCTATCTATCTATCCATCCATCTATCTATCATCTTTAAACCCTTGGAATCCATCTATTATCTATGGGTCATCTATCCATCCATTTGTCATCTGTATTTCTAGAGAAATATCTATGCTTTTAGAGTTTAATAAGATAGAGTTTTGATTAGCTATTATTTTAAAATAATGTTAATCTAAAGCAACATTTAAAAACAGTATAGTCTTAACATTACCTGCATAGAGGAACCTGAGATGTTTGCTAAAAGTCCAGGAATCTGACAGCAGGCTGAGAACCAACAAGATTGCACACCCCTCCCTGCAACATTCTTAAGCACATCATATTCTGAGAATCCTGCATGTGAAGACTTTGAAACTACAATATACCATGCAATGTAAAGGACTATTTTGAAGTGGTAGCTAAGTGGTTGTGAGGGGTAAATATACCTCTGGGAGCCACCTCAAATCCCTTGTGGATATTAAAAGTATGAGTGAAATGAAAAGGGAATGTTATAAATAAATGAATATGTAAAAATATCTCTAGCTATGTATCAATTTATTAATTCTGATGTTGAATGCTCTGTCCTACCTGTTCTTCAAAGAGATTAAAACCTCTTTCCCATTAAAACTTGCCAGCCTGTTAGAACCCATAGAGCTATCTATCTGCTAGAATAATAATACTTTTTCAAATTTACCAGTATTTTTCAAAATATATTCCAAAGAACTGTAGTTCATGAACTATCTCTACTACCATCAAACAAACAAGCAAACAAGCAAAGAGTGAGACACATTTGCAAAAGTCCAGCCTACATAAATTATGAAAACACTACAAATTATGTACCCACTATGTGAGCTCCATAATGCACATTAGCTTATTAGAGATTATGAGAAGCCTTAAAAGAGGAAAATTTTAATGTTTTTAAACCAGAATTTCTAAAACTTATGTGACCAAGGAGTCTTTTAAAAAATCATGTTTGTCAATTTCTCTCTTTTCCTCTTTTCCTCTCTCTTAAAGCTGGTTGTATATTTGATTGCTATTTAATTATGTGAAGCCTTAAATTATCTTTTAATTATTGTTTAACCCTTCATGCAAAATTATATGCACTCCATATATGTATATGTCATGCAGGATTGTGTATTTTTATTTATTGAGTGGATTATTCTGTTTTTGCCTGTTAGTAGTGCTGCTGCTAAATGTCCACATAATCTTTACTGATTGGAGTAGACTTTCTTGGTACCAATTAACTAGGATAAAATAGGCCCTGAGACAGAAAATGAAAATATTGATGGCAGGCTCTAGGTAAGCAAGAGATAACTCCATTCACCTTGGGTCTTGCTATCTCTTATGCTTTTACATGATCATTGTTATAATGATGATAACATTAATACCACTTATCGTGCAGTTATGGTCTGTGATGTGGCAAGTACTTGTTATTTCTTTAAATGCTGAAAACAACCCAATAAAGCAAGCATTATTAATGCAATTTTCAGAGGATTATAGATACTTACAGTTGAAATCGACACAGAAATATAGCAAAGCTGGGTTTTGAACTCATTTCTAACTGACCTCAAAGCCCAGGATCACAACCATTCTGTCCATTGCCTGCTGAATCTAGAAATTCTCAACTGTGCTTCTAAGGTGGTAAAGTTTATAGGTAGCCTCTTCCATGTGATGTGAGTCTCGGAGCTAGACAAGGAAGTGACTCCCCAAGCTGAGGATAAACACATATATGCTCTAAATCACACCATCGCATGCCATGGTTTGCATGTATGTGTGTTTGTGTTTGTATTTGTGTTTGTGTGTGTGTGTGTTTATTTCTCTTTTGTTATTCCTTAGCTATTAATCAACCTCGCTGAAATATGCAGGCTCCACCTCAGTTGTGCTCTGAATAAGTAAAGAAAAGGTGAGGTGACTGTAAATGGACATAGAGCTCAAGAGGGAACAGTTCTTCTCACTCTGAATGGCCGCCGCTGTGATCATCAGCTAAGATCGACAGGAATTAGAAGAAAGTTGGAGAAAAGACTGGTGCCTCAAAGGTTGGCTGCCTGAGCCTTGATCAATACTCCCGTCTAATGTCTAGTATTTATTTTTAGAAATTTAGCATTAAAAAAAATCTTCTGTAACAGATAGCTAGTAAACTAATACTTTAAGGAAGGGACCATTTTTATTATTCATTTTAAGACCCCATAATGGTTAGCATGGCAACTTGTCCCAAGTAAGTGCTCCATAAATACTGGTTAATAAGAGAGACTGAGCCTCTCTTCAAGTTAAAGAAGGAAGGTGTTGGGTACAAAGACAAACTTCACTCAGCACATTGCATGTGCCAGAGTGCAATTTTAAGATAAATGAAGAAATATAACATCATTGCTTTTGATGTATACTTATTTGCTTAGGGTATATAGCCTAGTTAAGTTTTTAGTTGCTTATCAATTAAATGACATTTTGCCTTTTATGTGGTATCATTTAACAGCAGGCTACTAATCAGAATTTCACTGAGCTTTCAATTGCATGATGTAGTGAGACCTAAAATGGATATAATTTCAGGAAGTTGTTTTACCAAATTATTTTTGACCTGAGAAGGATATTCACAAAACAGTTATTTGCAGCTTCTATTATATTGAATGGTTTCTACTTAATTAAAATTGTGTCTCTGGCCTAGAAATTATTTTCTAAGAAATGCTTTCTTGCTAAATAAGATTGTTATATATAGGAGAACTAACTCTATCTACTGACTGCTGCTGCTTACTGAGGAGACAAATATATTTCCATAAAATTCAAATAAAATGTTTTTAGGTTCCAATCAAATGCCATCATCTACTGAGATGACTGAGATGACGCCTGCTACCCTAAAGAAGTCAGGAATGAACTGCTTCAAGGCTAAGACATATTTGGCTCACATCTCTTGATATCGGCTAACACTGGAATCAGCATGGCCCAGTGGATAAAAACAATAAACAACACAAACAGAACAAAATAGAACAAAATACATAACTGAAAATAAAGACAACTGAATTCCAGTCCCAGCCCAGCCACTGTTGTGCTTTGTGGGTCTTGTTCTTGTACATTTCAAATCAAGGAGATGGAACTCGTTTATCTCATTGTTGTGAAGATGAAAAGTTGAGTAACTTGTGGATCTGGGTTGGACTGTATTAGGGATTGGTAGAGTAAAACAATTGAAATGAAATGATCAATAGGAGACACTTCCATCAATAGGTAAGTTACAGTGGGTGGGATAATGAGCCCTTCAACCCACCGGCAAATCAGTAGGGTAAAGCTAGCACTTCAACACATCGGTGGTGCTGGTGGTGAGGGGGTGAGTTTATCAGCATTAAGCTTTTCTTTCATTAGTGGAAAACTCTGAGTAGAGTTTAAGATTTTCCTCTCTGTTGCCATGTTGTTTTGGAAATGGCCTACTGTTTGCGGAGACTCACTGTCATTCACTAGTCCCAATTTTAATCACTGTTTGATCGTATATTACACATGAAATGGTAGAAGAAGAATTAAATTTTGTGTCACTGTCCCTGAAGACATATTTTCATATATTAATTGCTGATTAATCTTCTACTTTTTTTGTTGTTGCAGTTGTTATTCTGTGACATCTTCTCTACTTAAGCAGCTCACCCACGAGGCATCCAAAACAGAGAGAAAAAACAGAGTGAACATTTTGCCTTATGGAATTGTCAAAAGTTGCAGTCAAAACACAGGCAAGATTTGGAAGAATCTGTAATGAGTCAGGGCAAGTTTTCCTAGCTATAGAGGCTGGGGAAGGAGAGGGAATTAGAGATTGGCTGTTCCTGGAAACTCTCTGCCTGTACTCCATGACCTGAGTCCCAGGACCTGGAAGCGGCTGGACATCTGAGCTATAGGAGAGACTGGTGCTGCCTTTCTGAGGAGGGCTTGGGAAAACAGCAAGTTTCCTGAATTTTTCCATGGCACAGGAGCAGATGAAATGTCATGAATGGTGTCCAGGCCAGTGGACTGAGTTAGCTCCTGAGAGTCCCTGTACTCTCCAGCACGGAACGAGGAGAAGCAGACCATTCTCCTATGCAGCCATAGGAAAATGGTACAAACATGACACCGAAATTCAGCTGACCGCAAGAGCTTGATGGTCAGTGTGAGCCAGATGGAGCAGGAACATGTACGGATGGAAAACCTAGATCCAAAGTTCATTCCCCTCTCCTGCTGATGTTCCAGCACATTGCAAGCTTTCCCAGAAACTTAGAGGCAACCTTGGCACAAGGACATGATTTGTTGGAAATTAAGCTTTGTCACCTGGGGGACTGTGAGCTTGATATGGAAATTAATTCAGTTATATAATTATAAAAATGATGTGCTTCCTACACATCTGATTTTGTGAACCCAAATTAGTTTCCACAACACAACTGTATTAACATTTGCCAACCTCTGGTGCAACATTTGTTGTCTTTGTTGGATTTTTCTAGAAGTTTTCAGCTCTAACCCATCTTTCCCTGTTTTATTTTCATTTCTAAATTCTGGTGAGTGGTGTTTTGGTAAGTAGCTATCAGTTATTTTTCTGTCTTACTTGAAAAGTCTTCTCTGTATTAAATAACAAAGGTCACTTAGATAAATATCTTATTATTACCAGAAGGTAGGGAACTGCTTCTCCTATACATTACTTCTATTATCTTTCAATCCAGAAAAAAAAAAAAAAACATGGCAAGAGGACAAGTTTTTGAATGTTATGAATCATGATTTCTGTGTCTAAAATCTGCTCTTTTGTTAACACTAAGAGCAACTTCCTTCAAAGTGGTTCATCTTGGTTTCTTACCGTGTGTGTGTGTGTGTGTGTGTGTGTGTGTGTGTGTGTGTGTGGTAAAACCAAAGTTTCCTATTATTTTTGAAGGTGTTTGACCCTGCTGGAAGACAGCTATGTATAAGGTGAAATTGGCAGAGAGAAAGGGAAACCGGATCTTATTCCCAGGCCTCCTGTCACCAGCTGTGTGACTTTGCTGAAGTCATTTCTTTCCCCTAAGTCTCGGTTCCCATACCTATAAAGTGAGTGTTCTGCCTGGGTGTCTTTTAGGTCTTTATTAATGTTGAAATATCCTGACTTTATGGGTTCTCATTCACTGTGATGTGGTAACCAAAACAAGCAGAGATTAATAACCCAGGACTCAATAATGTAAAACACAAAAATTGTATTTTTGCAAATTTTTGTAAATGCGGGATCATGTGACAGTATTGGTGTGATCCATAACTCTACATTTAGTGGATAAACAGAATGTAACTTAGAAGCGTTATCTTTGTTATCAGGGGAACATGGAGTTGGATGTATATGATGGAGATGGGCAGTTAATTCATAGGTTGAACACCCAATGAGGGAATATCTCTTCATCACTATCTCCAAACACTCCCCACTCTTCCTCAATTTTCTTAGTAACTCACTGCTTAGACTGGGTTTCCCCAGAAGCAGACTAGGAGACCAGGATTTGATGCAAGCAGTTTTTTTGGAATCGATCCCAGAAAGACTGATAAGAGAGTAGAGAAGTAACACAGAGAAGTGAAGAAAGCTAATAGAAGGTCCCGGTGCTCTCTCCTGAAAGAGACTGCTGGAGGACTGAGTAGAACATGCCCTAGAGTTGTCCCCCTCTGCTGGGGCAAGAGAACTAGGGTACCGATCAGCTAATTTCCATCCTTCACTGGTTAAGGGCATTAACCTCCCCAAACCTCTGGCGTGTGCCCCAGATAGACCAGGCATGCTTCTGTGGCCAGAGAAAGCCCAAGGGTGGAGAGTCACAGATGCTTGTGGTAGGTAGCAGGTGGTGTGTATGGAAATGGGAATGGGATGCCAAGGGGATTTGGGCAGGGCACCAAGCATCTGCCGCATTACCCTAATCCAGGCAATAACACTCGCAATATCCCAGGGATTCCCCTTGTAGCCTCGAATTCCTCTTATTCTCATTTATTTTGCATTTACCTTCTAGAACATAGTTTCTTAGATAGTAAAGGTCCTACTGACTTTCCTCATTTCTGTGCAACCTCCTTTCCTGCTTAGCTTCTCTTCTGTGGTCAAGCCAATATACACAGAATTTTGCCTTCCATTCTTTGCTAAGGTGTTTCTTCTACTTGGAATCTGTGCCTCAGTCATTTTCACTAATCCATGTCCCTCCCAGTACACAGAATTTTTCACAGAAAACATAGTTAATCCTTTAAAAATATATTTTTAGATTGAATTGCATGCCCCTCTTAGGGTTTCTTTCTTTCCAAATGCCTTTTTTAAATCCCAATTTAAGAATTTCTTTAGCCAGTACTACAACCATGCAGTCCTTGTTCTCCACTTCTTTCCTTTTATCTACTCAATGTTATTAATCTTTTTAGTGTAAACATCAGTGACTCAAGCAAGCCTTTTCTAATCCCCATGATTAGGATGAGTTTTTGTGTTACCTGCTCCAAAAGGTTTGTCCTTTGTAATGCTCACCACATTTCAGGTTTCTGTTCACTATTAGCTATCCAGACACACTTCAAAGGCCATGAGGCCTGATACCATGATTTTGCTGCACTCCTAGACCTGGCCTACTGGTACATAGTAGGCATTGATAAAAATCTGCTGGAGCATTGCATAAATAAACTATGCCATTTGGGACTGATTAACATTTTAAAGAATAATTGATTTTACTTCTTCCAAGCATTTTTCTAGTGAATTTATAAATACATTAAAGGTGGAGGCTGTTTCTCTTGCATCCCCTCTGGAGTGCTATATGCAATGTACCTCATACAGTAGGAGCTTCAAAATGTTAGTAAAGTGAATACACACACACACACACACACACACACACACGGAGGTAACTGCAAGGTCTCAGGTATACGCTTTGGTAAGAGTTTACTTGGACCATTGGAGCATGCTGTTCTCTCTCACGTGACACATAGCAACAATTCAAATAGAGTAAATCAGGCAGGATACAATGGCTCATACCTCTAATCCCAGTACTTTGGGAGGCTGAGGCAGGAGAATCATTTGAGGCCAGGAGTTAGAGACCAGCCTGGACAACCTAATGAGACACCATTTCTTCAAAAAGCAGAAACATTAGCTGGGTATGGTGGTTCACCTGTAGTTCTAGCTACTTGGGAGACTGAGGTGGGAGGATTGCCTGAGTCCAGGAGTTCGAGGTTATAGTGAGCTATGATTGCCCTACTGCACTCCAACCTGGGTGACAGAGTGAACCACTGTTTCTAAAACAAAATAAAAAAAAAATAAAATGAGTGAATTAATTGCTGGAGAGGTACTAAGTAATAAAATTGGACTTCAAATGGAAAAGCAATAAAAAAAAATAGGTCCTGTGATTTGGAAGAGTAATGAAGGTGCTGAAAATAGACACTAATCGTAAATGTGTAGGATGCTAGGGAAAAAAAATTTTGGGGATATGTGTGCTAATTGGTGTTAATAACAAACATACCAAGAAAAACAAATTGGTTTAAAGAATAAAAAGAAACACAGGATTTGCAGTCATTAATTTTGTAGAAAAATGTAGATGAGAGAAAAAGGAAAAAAGCAAACTAAATTTTTTGAAAACAAGTTCATCAGCATAAGAATGATACAATGGATTTTGGGAACTTAGGGGCAAGAGTGTGAGAGGGTGAGGGAAAAAAGACTAAACACTGGGTACAGTGCTCAGGTGATGGGTGCACCAAAATCTCAGAAATCACCACTAAAGAACTTACCTGTGTAACCAAGCACCACCGGTTCTCCAAAAACTATTGAAATTTTAAAAAAATTAAAAAGAGATCAATATGTATTAAAATATCAGTGACACTTTTGAGAAGACCTAGTGTTTAACAGAATAATATCAATAATCACCGAAGAAAACTATTCTGAAATGTGTTGTGCTTCACTGGTATAACTATAATTAGAGAATAAGCAGAATAGAAGAAAATTATCTTCACATCTATCTATTTTATCTGTTTATGGATGCAATTTCCAAAATACATATGCAGAATTTTTTCTAAACAGAAGCATGAAAATAAAAAAGTATTTCAAAATAAAAGTGCTTTGGCTGAAGCACCTGATAGAGTATGATAGGAAATTTCATTTGCCCATTCTATTCAAACCAAATCGGGTAGAAGCCTGCTGGCTTTTCTTCAATGTTATCTCAAAAACAGAAAAGAAAAAAAAGTATGTGATAAAGTTACAGGCTACAACATAGGCCATCTTTGAACAACATATAAAGACTGTATATGAACAAACACATACACAACAGATATACATGATTTAGATTTCAGTGTCTTTTAACATTTTCTGCAGACATTTCAAATATATATATATACACACACAAGTATTAACAAGGATACAGAAATCTAGATGTGCCTGATTTTATGTTTTTTTGTGCAGCATTGATTTGCTTTGAAGCCATTTGTCTCTAACATCTTTCTGAAAAAATGTGCACATGCCGACACAAACGTGTGTGTAGTAGTACCCTGGTAAACTCTGTACTTGCTGAATGTTCTTGTACGCTCTTAGCCATCCAGGGCTTCATGACCAAATGAACGTGCCGACCCATTGAGCAAGAACCTACCATGCTGCAAATTCTCACCTTCAGAGAGAGCTGCACTGTGCTGTCCCAAGCTGAGTGTGCTCTGCAGTGTGTGTGGGTCACTGCACTGGGGCCTCTCTTTTTGTCATGTGTTTTGTGGTCTTGTCTACAATTTTGAAAGACTGTGGCTTCCGGAAGGGGTGTAAATAATCAGCTTGCAAGAAAACACAGGTAGAGTATCATGGTTGATGGTAAAATGCATCTTTAATAGTGACTTGAGGTATTTTCAGAGAAATTGTCAAGTAGAATTGAACAAATGAGAGGCGATTAGAGGTATTGTTGATCTTCAACATTGTGAAAGGCACCACGCATAATTGTAGCTGTAGGAGATTGGATCAATATTTTGTGAATAACGGCTGGAAGAACCGATGGCCTGAGACGTCATAACTTCATGAAATTTGAAGGAAGCACAAAAGCAATTGTCAGTTTTAAATGCTAAGAAAGAATAGCTGTCCCTTAGTATCCATGAGCAACTGGTTCAAGGACCTTCTCTGGATACCAAAATCTGAGGATGCTCAAGTCCTTAATATAAAATGGAGTGGTACTTGCATATAATCTATGCTCATCCTCCTGTGTACTTTAAATCATCTGTAGATTACTTGTAATACCTAATACAATGTAAATGCTATGTAAACAGCTGTTATGCTGTATTGTTTAGGGAGTAACGACAAGAAAGAAAGACTGTACATGTCCAGTACAAACACAATTTTTTCTCGAGTGTTTTTTTTTGATCCACAGTTGGTTCAATCCCTGAATGTGGAACCCACCGATGTAGAGGGTCAAATGTATTTCCATAGAAGACTTGCATGATCCTGACTCAGGACCTCAGGAAGGCAACCTCTTGGAATAATAGTATATATATATATATCACAGAGTCTCAAATGTTATTGACAAATATGCATTCATAATTTTTTTTTACCTGGTTCTCAGTCAGTGTGCATAATTCATAATATTTTAAAAGGTTGAAAATACAGTTGAAAATAAGATAAAATTCAGTAAAAATACCAAATGTCAGCCTCAGAGCTAAATACTTTCTAACAGCTCCAAGACATAAAAGGAAAGGAATGTTCAAATTGATGAACATTATTAAAGACAAGGACATTTTCATTTATAAAAGAGAGAAAGTATTTAAAGTAAGTTCTTTATACTTCTAACTAAAATGCTTTTCATTTTTAACTCATATAGCTATGTAAAAAATAATGTAATGCTCCTTGTACACATCTTTTTACTTATAGTAGCCTTGAGAAAAATTACACATAGATAGTTTAACTTGCTCAAACCCGTCAAAAATTAAGGGAAATTGAAGAAAACAGTATTAAGGATTTTATTCACATTTAAGTTGCTATTGCATGCAGCAAGAGATTAAAGGAACCATAAGATAAAGACTCTGACTTCTGTGAGTATATGCCCCAGTAGAAGAGCATATAGAATTGGGTTTAAAATCATTGCTTTTTAAAGTATTTGTCAGCTTACTTGTGACAACCTGTTACTCTCATCCAATAATATGGTACTAATATTTATCTGTCTATAGCCTCCTCCACACTTCTTGTAAGACACTGAGTTTAATTTTCTCTTCTCATTCAGAGCAAGCTAATGGGAGTCAAGGATGAACAGAAATTCCCTCTGCAGCTGAGGCAGGAGAATTGCTTAGACCCAGGAGACGGAGTTTGCAATGAGCCAAGATCTTGCCACTGCATTCCAGC